TTTTTGGAGATTTTGCTTTTACTTAGACTTTATGTTTTTCTTCTTTATTTTGATGAGTAGGTTTGTTAACTTTCTTTGTGGTTACCTTGAAATTTACCCTTATCTTCCTAAATTTGAACCAGTCTATTATTACTTGGTATTGCCTTGTCTTCCTTTTCATTAGAAAGTTCTATACCTACACCGTTTATTCCCTCTTTTATTGTGCTAATGCTGTCGTTATTTACAGATTAACCTCTCTGGTTCCCTGTTGTAATTTTTTTGGTTTTGCATAGTCCTTAAGAGTTCATTTCCTAGGTTAGTATCTGGCTAGTACAATCCTGTGTCCTATATTCAGCCTGTGGTCTGATGTTGTTCGTTCTCAGATCGAAGGACTCCCTTTGATAAGTCTTGTAAGTTTGGCTTGGTTTTTGCATAATTCCTTAATTTCTGTTTATCTGGAAATGACCTAATTTCACCATATTTGAATGAGAGTTCTGCAGGATATATTATTCTTGGCTGGCAATTTTTTTTCTTTCAAGGTTTTTTATACGTCATCCCACTGCCTTCTTGCCTGCATGGTTTCTGCCAAATAATCCAAGCTTAGTCTTACTGTTTCTCCTCTGTGACTTTCTGTTTCTCTCGAGCTGTTCTCAGGATTCTTTGTTTTTGGTTTTAGTGAGTGTGATTATGATATGCCTTGGTGATTTTCTTTTGAGGTCTGTCCTATACGGGATTTGTTGAACTTCTTGGATGGCCAGCTTTTCATCTTTCATGATATTGGGGGAGTTTTCTGTCAGCAGTTCTTCAATGATCCTCTCTGTGTTTTCTGTTTTCTCCCTGTTCTGGAACTCTGATCACTGGCAGATTTTTGCTTTTCATTGTATCCCACATAATTCTCAAGGTTTCTTCATTTTCCTTTTTTCTGATTTTTCCTCAGAGTTGCATCCAAGTGTTTGTCTTCAATTTCACTGATCCTATCTTCCATTGTTTCAAACCTGCTCCTCAGCCCTTCTATGACACTGTCCATTTCTGAAATCTTGTTGTTTATCTTTTGGATTTCTAATTGTTGTTTTTGTATGATTTCTAGTTGTAAATTTATTTTAGTATTTTGTTCCTATATTATTTTCTTGAATTCTTCCATTTTTTGTCTGTATTTTCCATGAATTTGTCTATTTCTTCCTCATTTTTGTCTGCTTTTTGGTTCAACTCTCAGATAATTCTGAATATTAGAGATTTGAATTCCTTATCAGTTAGGTCTAGTGCCTTTTCTTCTACTGGAAAGTCATCTGGTGTTTTATTTTAGACACCTACTGGAGCCATCCTGTCCTGTTTTTTAAACATTTTATAATGTCTGCTGTCTTCGGGGCATTCAGTGGTTATTTTCCTCATTTATCAATTGTAAATTTGTTTTGTCCTGCTTTTTTGTTTTATTTGGTTATGTATGAGCAGGCGGGCTGTGCATTCTTTGTTGTTTGCTTATCTGTGGGCACGATACTTTTCATCTCCTTCTCCAATGGGCAGGGTCAGTCACTCAGGTATGGTACAGCAGGGCAGGTCCAGCTGAAGGGGAGTTGCTGGGATGGGTTGTTTGTGGTATGTACCAGGGCTGACAGTGCAGACCGGGAATCAGTGCAGGGCAGGTTCCAGTAGGCCATGCCTGTGCTGCCTGGGAGTGTGATGTTCAGTACATGGTGCAGGCAGGCAGGAAGGACCGGGTAGATTGTGACGTGTGAATCTAAGATGGGTATGCGAAAGAGGAGAGAGAGGACAGAGAAACAGGAGTCAAAAACCAACAAACGAAAAAGAGTGCTAAGGGAGGTTGCTACTGGTGGAGACATAAGAGGCTGAGAAATGGTGAAAAAATTTAAAAAAAAGAAGAAAGGTGAAAGAAAACAATGAATAAATCGAGAAACTGGAAATGAAGAAAGACAAAAAGGGAATAAGAGAGAGAAGAAAACAAAACAAAGAAACAAACAAACAAAAAAATCAGAAGAAAAGAAATGCCCCCAGGGATGCCCGTGTGTCTGCACAGAGTTAAGGGAGTACCTTCCAAGCCGTGTGGTACCTCCCGGCTAGAAGGGGCTCCCAAGCTGAGAAAAGAAAAAGAAAACAAACAAACAAATCAAAACAGAACAAATCAGAGCAAACAAACAGAAAAGCTCCAAGGTTCCCACCAGCCTGGCGGCACATGCCGGGAAGCAGTTTCACAGTTGAGTGGTGTTTTGCAGCCTTTCAGGAAGAAGCAAAGATGACAAACGGAGTGAGGTATTTGAGAGAAAAGGGCAAGGAGGTGGTGAGAGGTAAGGAAGAATCCTAAAGAAGCAGAAAAAAGCAACACCAGCAGCGAACAAAACGCACTCAGGGAGCCAGCCAGTGTGGGCGGGTGGAATACAAGCGACAGCAGGGTGAAGCTGGTGCATCCCAGCCAAGACTCTGTGGCTGCAGGAAGCAGAGGAGGCTAAGTGGGGGGTAAAGAAGGGTGGGGGTGGGAAGGCATATATCGCTGGTTACCAGTAGTTCTGTTTCCTGCTGGAAGCTCTGTGAAGCTTTCTCGTACCCCGTTCGCTGATCTCTGACAGGAGTCCAAGATGGTGGATCCGTGCTGCGGTAGCTGATAGGGGACCCCTCCATGTATCTCTCCTCGCTCTCTGTTCTCAGTAAGTTTCTTATTCCATTCAGTACTTGGCTGAGTTCTTTTACCTCTTCATTTGATGCTTAGGGTTTCAGGATTGATGTGTGACTCTGTTTGACTTAGTTTTTCTGATCTTTGCTGCGGAGGGATGGTGTAGCGCTTCTGACTATAGTGCCATGTTGCCCAGAAGTCCCTCTCATTGTAGTTTTGATCTGTATTTCTCTAATGGCTAATGATCGTGAGCATTTCATGTGTCTGTTAGTTGCCTGAATATCTTCTTTGGTGAAGTGCCTGTTCATATCCTTTGCCCATTTTTTAATTCAGTTATTTGTCTTTTTGTTGTTGAGGTTTTGCAGTATCTTATAGATTTTAGAGATTAGGTGCTGATCGGATTTATCGTAGCCAAAAATTTTTTCCGAGGTTTTTTAATGGGATGCGGTGAGAGTTGTGGAGAGGGATTCAAGAAAGCACTGGAAGGGAGGGCCAACCCTGCTGACCTCTGCGTCTCCACTTCAGGTCCCCTGAATTTCTTGGGTTTTTGGATTCAGGGACTAATTTTCAGGGTAAACTTGACTGTTGCTGTCAATAGCTATGCATTTTAGTAGCCAATAAATTCACCACCAACCAGAAACAAATAAGACTCATACTATGTTAGAAAGGTTATCGACCCTTAAGCAAGGTAGTTTTTTAAAGTCTCTTCCTCATCTATAATTCTTTATTAAAGATAAGTTCCTTAAAGATTTGGGGATCACTGTTTCAAGCAAATGACCAAGAAGGAAATATAGCTTAGACCCTAGGACCAATGACACTTTAGATTACTAGCATTATCTTTCCTACCCAGTGAATCCTGATCATGGGAATTCCTGTTTAAGAAACAACATCACCAAGTCTTTAACTCTGGAACTAACTTTTTATATGTGGTTTTGGTGATGTTTAAATGAGTTAATCATGTAAAATGCTCACAACAGCATCTTTCATGCAGTAAGTGATTCCATGGTGTTACTATAATAACAATATTGTTATTTTATTGTTACTATTGTTACTGTAGTAACAATAACTAGCAAAAATTAACACTCTCATTCTTCTTCAGTCAGTAATGCCAGAGCACCCCACTGAAATGACCTCCAAAGCCCCTCAGGAGGACATTCATCACTATGGTGAATTTACCCGGGTCTAGGTTTTGCCTGCTTAGAAATCTGATCTTGTTATTTGGAAAAAAAACCCCACTGCTATCAAGTTGATTCAACTAATAGCGACCCTATGACAGACAGTGCAGTACTGCCCCATAGGGAATCCAAGGAGTGGCTGGTGGAGGCGAACTGTTGACCTTTGGGTTAGCAGATTAGCTGTTAAAACACTGCACCACCAGGGCCCTCAGGAGGGGTATAATTAGCTAACCTCAGAGAGTAGTATGTAGAACCAGAATTCCATTTATCTTACTGTTGTAAGTGAATTTGCTAATTTATAATGAGAAACTATAAATACATCAAGAGCATATGAAGACTTCATAATGAAAACGCTCTCACTTTGTCAACATAGGAAGCCAAATCATAATCAGAAGATTGTGTACTAAGCACAAAATTAGAAGTGGACATGGATTAAATAACTAATGGTGTGAAGCCAAGATGGCCTGAGGCAGCCACATGCACCTTCCTACAAGACCAAGACATGCAGTCATTTAACAAATATGGACAGGATGACTACTATGTGCTAGACACTAAGATATAAAGCAGAAGAGATTTAGTATGTATCTTCAGAGCCTATAGTCTATTAGGGGCAACAGATAATTAATCAAATGATTATACTACAGCATGACAGATTTTATAACAGGGAAGTACAAGATATCATGGGAAAACAGGACAAGACATGAACATAAAAATTTTTTTGGTGGGGAGTATTATGGATTGGATTGTGTCTCCCCAAATATGTGTTGTAAATCCTAACCCCTGTCCCTGTGGATGTAATCTCATTTGGGAATAGGGTTCTTTTTTTATGTTAATGAGGCCATACTAGTATAGGGCTGTATTAAACCAATCACTTTTGAGATATAAAAGAACAGATTGAGCACAGAAGAAAGCAGACATGGGGGAAGACCCGCACTATCTGAGGCTCACGGAGGCAGACCACTCTACAAGCCCAGGAACTCCAAGGATGCCCATCTAGAAAAGCTGAGACAAGGATCTTCCCCCAGAGCGGACAGAGAATGCTTTCTCCTAGAGCCACACCTTGATTTGACTTCTAGTCTCCTAAACTGTGAGAAAATCAATTTCTGTTTGTTAAAGCCACCCATTTGTGGTGTATCTGTTACAGCAGCACTAAGAAACTGAGACGGGGGCACAGATTCAGGAGGATAACCCCAAAGAAGTAATATTTATACTAAAACTGAAAAGGCGGGTAAAGAGAAAAAAAGGTGGTAGTGAGTGGGGATGGAAATAGAGAAATTGAAATATGTTGGTTAAAGCTTTTCCCTTCCTAGCCAGAGAGGAGTTAGTGCTCTTTATCAAGGTTCCTAGATGAATCTCTCCCATTCCTCCCTTTTGATCAATACATTGTTTTCCTAGAATTGAAAATATATTCAAACACTTAGTTTTGCTAGTAGAAGGGCAACTTGTTGTACCCCCCTCCCAGTAACTTTATCTATGTTCTAATCCGTATTTATTCCTTTCACACTTTAGATGATAGAAAAACCAGCTGCCCCTGAGTCCACCCCGACTCATGGTGACCCAATGTGACAGTGCAGAACTGTGTCCTCTAAGGTTTTCATGCTGTGACCTTTCGGAAGCAGATCACCATACCTTTCTTCCAAGGTGCCTCGGGGTGGGTTAAAACTGCCAACTTTCTGGTTGGTACTCAAGCACCTAACCATTTGTGCCACCTAGAAATGCATTAGATGACATAGGATATCTATTTTTTTCATTTCCAAATATTCGGTGAACCCCTTCATTATAGGTCCCCAACATTTGTAAGAGTAAGTGTGCATACCCAACCTCAGAAGAACTGCCCAGATATGTCCAAATATACACACTAACACACATAAACATCCAGATGTCCAATAACACAAGTGTGCACACAAACATGCCCACATACACCTAGATACACACACATGCATATACACACATTCAGACACAGTCCCAGACAAAACTATGCTGCATTTTTACCCGACCAGCTGAATCAACTGTAACACTGTGAGGTATGTTGAACTGAGTAGGCCCTGTCCCATTTTCTCCATGGAGCCAAAGCATCGTGAAATCTATGAAAAGTAAACATATTTGGTCAGAACAACATACAGCATATCTTACACATTTGCCAATTATATTTTGTGATATAAGGTACAGAAATATGATTCAATTAAACTCCTCATTACTACGCTTTCCTGGATTCCTGTTTATATACTCATTTGCTGAATTCTTATGCTTTACATAAAAATTTTTTTTTTATTTTCTGCTTCAAGCAACTAATTTACTTCTTTAATTATTATCTTCACTTATATTTTCTCATCGCTGCCTCAAAATCATTAAAGTTCATGACATCCTGTCTCTCAAAGTGGATCCCCTTCACAACCTTTCTGTTATCTGGTATCACCATTCTTTGATAACAACATTATGTTCTTATTGTCTGTCTCCTGGCGCAATGGTTAAGCATTTGATTGCTAACCAAAAGGTGGGCAGTTTGAATTTACCCAGCAGCTCCCTGGGGGAAAGACCTGGCAATCTGTTTTTTAAAGGTTACAGTCTAGAAAATCATATGGGGCAGTTCAGCTCTGTCACATGGGGTCGCTATGAGTCAAAATCGACTCGACAGCACCTAACAACGCTTTATTACCCACATTCAATCTGTCTCCTAAATTTAGTTGTTTCTAGGTGCCTATACTAAAGAATTTGACATATCTAAGATGACAACAACTCCAACAAAGACCAAAAAACAAGACTAAGATCACATGTGGATGTCTATAAGCATACAGTCATACAGGTAGGTACACGCGTATATATTGAGAACAGATAGAAGCATCTATATGAACGTGTAAATACAGATCTGTGTGGGCAATAACGTATGTTCACTGAAGACACAACTACGAACACTCCTCAGACATAACCAAATACCTTCCAAGATTAGTTTTCTAGGTTTGAAAGCTTGAGACCATAGTCTCATGGGACAACTCAGTCAACTGGCATAATATAGTTCACAAAGTTCATGTTCTGTATCTTAGCAAAGTTAGTAGCATCTCGGGTCTTAAAAGCTTGCCAGCGCCCATCTAAGATACAACTATTGGCCTTTACTTGCCAGGAACAAAAGAGTAAGAAGGTAACCAAAATCTCAGAGAAAAAACAAGTCTACAAGGCTTATAACCTACGCAAGTTGATAAACTACCCTGAGACCAGAAGAAGCAGATGGTGCCGAGATACCACCATTGACCATTCTGACCAGGGTCATAATAGATGATCCCAGATAGAATGGGAGAAAAATGTAGAAAATAATTCAAATTCTCACAAATGGCCAGACTAACTGGATCACCTGAGACCAGAGGACTCCCTGAGACTATCTATCACTCAGAAACATTCTTTAAACCTTGAACCAAAACTACCCTGAGATCACCTTTTAGCATAAAAGGAGGGTGACACACAAGATAAAGGGTATCCACTTACTGACAAAGATAAAAGACTTTAGCATCCTTGGATCTACAATCAACACCCATGAAAGCAGCAGTCAAGAAATCAAATGACGCATTGCATCAGGCAAATCTGCTGCAAAAGACCTCTTTAAAGAGTTAAAAAGCAAAATATAACTTTGAGGACTAAGGGGAGCCTGACCCAAGCCCTGGTGTTTTCAATTGCTTCATAGGCATGTGAAAGCTGGACAATGAATAAAGAAGACTGAAGAAGAATTGATGCCTTTGAATTATGGTGTTGGCAAAGAATACTCAATATACCATGGACTGCCAAAAGAACGAACAAATCTGTCTCGGAAGAAGTACAGCCAGAATGCTCCTTAGAAGCAAGGATGGCAAGACTTCACCTCACATACTTTGGACATGCTATCAGGAGGGACCAGTCCCTGGAGAAGGACATAATGCTTGGTAAAGTACAGGGTCAGTGAAAAAGAGGAAGACCTTCGACAAGATGAAGTGACACAATGACTAGAACAATGGGCTCAAGTACAATTGTGAGGATGGTGTAGGAGTGGGCGGTGTTTCAGTCTGTTGTACACAGGGTCGCTATGAGTTGGAACCGACTCAATGGCACCTAACAACATCTGTATGAGTCCAAAAGGTCAACATTTAATTGAAAGTGAAAATGAAAAGATAAGGGGGCAGGGAAACTAGAGTACTGGAAACAGAACAACCAGGACACAATTAAAGAGAATGCTGACACACTGTGAAAAATGCAACTAATGTCATTGATCAGTTTGTGTGGAAATTGTCACATGGACACCTAACTTGCTGCATAAACTTTAACCAAAAACATACTTAAAAAAAAAATTCAATGAAGATTTACGTTGCCATTGCCAAATGAAGTGTACCAAATGTTTCTTTTTTAAAAAAAGAAAAAAAACTGTTGTTCCTTTCATACAAACATTTGGATTCTTGCTTTATGCTCACCCCACCTCCCTTTAACTGCCAGCAACCAAACTCAGTTATTGGGTGATAAATGGACTAAATAGCCTGCAAATGAGAGCTCTCTCCAAATATATGCTGATACAGTATTGTGTCTTATATACTCTGCTTCTATAATACCACTTTTTTTTACTAAAAAACCTCAGACTCTTTTATAAGCAAACACAGCTTCAAAAATCCTTAGATAAGCTTTTGAAAATACCCCAAATCTTACTTTCCACTATTCAAATATGTATCTTCAGCTCCTTTCCTAAAAGCCATGCTGATTACCAATTACCTCCTCTAGACCCTGTGTGACAGTTCTCCATGAATGCTCTCTCCACACCTTTTCTCCTCCCACCAAATCGCTGTAGTTCAAGAGCTATTTCTCTCATGAAATCTTGTCCTACTTCTCTAGCCGATATTAGTTTCCCACCTCTTAATTCCTATTTTAAGAATCAATACCATAGAACTAGCATTTGTTTATCTATAATAGACCTCCACCCAAAATATTACAGAGAACACAGAGCTGACCACTCAATAAAATACTTAATGATTAATCAGACTGCAGGATACCTTGACGCTGGGATTCCAGGTCCCTAACCTCCCTATTCTGAATTGGACAGGATACCCACTTATCTCTTCAGTTCTCTGTAAATTCTCATGCCACCTCCAGTTCATTTTGGAGGAAACTCCTCAATGAAGAATAAATAGGCCTGTACTCAGAACTGTTCATCGTTGGCCATCCCAGCACCTGTCCTCTAGATTTCTTCTAGTAATACACTTGAGCCCTTTAGACACAGCTTCATATTCTAAAGTCAACTTAGAATATTCTTGTAATATCACACAAGATTAAGTCACATACCTTGGGATAGTTTGAACAATCTGTTATTCAATCCTCCATCTCCATCCACAATATAAATATCTCCTGTGTCCTCCACATATAATTCTGCAGGGTTATCAAACTGCAAGGGATTCAAATCGGTGCCTTTTTTGCCTGGGGTACCCAAGACTTGAACAAGATCACCAAAAGAATTGTATTTTTTAACAGTATGACCATAGGATCCTGTAAAGACACATACACACAAATATAACCACTGTACATTCATATTTTTCAAATAAGCTGAGAATAAAAATTTGATTACAATTAGACAGTAATAAATGGTTGATAACCTCAGATAATTAAAGGTCATATTTGGCAAACAATAGAAGTTCTTCATTAGTTATAGCCAAATTTGTCCATAAATTAAAATCTTAGCTACTCCAAAATAAGCAGACTTCAAATTCAAATAAACCAGAAAATGTCGACTACTCATTATACAGAAAGCTAGTGATGCTAACAGATTATTGGTGCATCATTTTCTTCTTGAATCTCGTGACCCCGAATAAGCATTGTTTATAAAAGAAACTCAAAAATAACAACTCATACATGAAAACTGGTATTTCAGTCATTTGTGCATAGATTTTGAATTTCTGGAGGTCATAAAAGCATACTCTGTGATACAGATGGTTTTTAGCTACTGTTTTTCCTCATGAAAATAAAATTAAAAATTCAACTCATTAACTTTTCTAACCTAAGAAGAATATAATCTTTCCAAATCACTAGTATCTTCTCACTTAACAATAAATTTTCATTCAGTGAAAATCATCTTACAAACAAAAGTATACAGTAGAATACTAAGAAATAGAGAAAAATCACAGGCAGTTAGTAGAAATCAACTTGAGGGCATGCAAGAGTAAATTATTAATTGATAGGTGCTCAAAAGGCAAACTGGACAGACTGAGCTTACTTAAAGGAGCCCTGGTGGTGCAGTGGTTAAGTGCTCAGCTGCTAACCAAAAGGTCGGCAGTGCAAATCCACCAGTTACTCCACGGTAGAAAGATGTCGCAGTCAGCTTCAGTAAAAATTACAGCCTAGGAAACCCTATAGAGCAGTTCTACAGTGTCCTATAAGGCAGCAACAAGCATGTGGTGTGAGCTTACTTAATCAGCTTGCATTATCATTCCATGCTGAAAAACATATTATTATGATGCTTCTAAAATTTATAGAATAGTAAGAGAACACAACATTATTAAAGAAACGAAACCTTGAAGCGTCTAAAGAATTGGCATAGCGGATACAATACCAGTAAATAATATTTTAAAAAATGGTGTGACTTGCAATCATAATTCTATTGGAGGGAATTTATTCATTGAAAAATGGAAAGGAATGCAAAAACTGTCTTCAGATCTGAGAGTGGGAATAAAAAGCTGTAATGGAAAGAATGATGATATCATCCGTGTTCTTTCAGTTCCGGAATTCAAGGAAGTCTTTTATTAAAAAAAAAAAAAAGAGAGGATCACATGGACAGAATGAATTAAAAAGTAAAGGCCTTTAACAGGAGAATTTCCCTGAAAAAAAAAAAATGTGAAAAAAGTCAAATTTCATCACAATGACCTCAGAGATATTCCAGACTTTTTGGCTTATCCAGAATCTTTTCATTGAAAATATAGCTTGAAATAAATGAGCCATCAAGTGAGGCTCAGAAATCTTTTGGGTTCTGAGAAAAGATGCGGTAATGGCACTAATTACAAAAACTGAGACCTCATTAATAAAAAATAAATAAAAAAAGAATCTGAATTAGCCAGAAATGGGGAAACAAATTTCCTTCAAGTTCTGAATTTAACTGGGTTAAGGATTATTAGAAATATTATTTTTGTCATCCCGTTCCTTTCTGAGGTCCTAAGGCAATGCCAAGCTCTCTCTGGTACTGCCTTGTATGAAGCCACGAACACATGGAAACTGCTTTGTCTGCAAAGTTTCCCCACAGTTGTAAATTCAAGTGTGCTTACTTTGCTTTTCCGCAAATTCTACTAAAATTATTTGAAGGCTGAAAGATTTCAGACATGCTGCAGTCGGTAGGATTTCAGAAACATTAACACCACTTTCTGCAAATCTTTGCACTTTGGGCAATAAAGGAGTTACGGTTTCTTAGCAGAATCTCTTTTGAATGAAAACTGTAGCGATAAGCATTCCATTCATTCATTCAGCTTTAGAGACTGCCATTTTATCTGTCTTCATAAAAGTGATTCAGAGTTATTTAATCTGAGATGAGCAATTGATGATTTAAAGTGGAACAGTCCCTTGAAAAACTAAAAGAAAAATCATAACCTTTTTAAATTTCTTGATTCTGCAGAAGGCAAAATAAAGATTTTTGGAAATACGTGCTTTCATGAATCATTAGAGAAATTAAGATTAGATTCAGCAATTCTGATTTTAAAATGTACAAGAACGAACACGGGCAAAGATGCGATTTTTAGTAACCTAATGTAATAAATGTTACCACACGTACCATTGCCTATATCCGTGATCCAGACAGATCGTTCATATGGCGTACTGGCTGCAAATATACCATGAGGTGTGTCAACGGTATAATTCCAGGCTCGTAAGAAATATCCATCCTCTGTGAACACTAATACTTTTGGCATGTTATCCCCTCTCTGAAGGTACACAAAAATAACTGCTTAGATAGCATCAGTTTTAAACAAAAGTAATCTTTATTTTGGCATAGAGAAAAGGGTTAATTGTGAATTTTAGTAGCTTAAAAAAAAAAAACTCAAAACCTAACAATATTAATACCTTCACATTTAAAAAAGGATTACTTGAAAATGACTCAAAAACAAATTCCACAATTTGCATAATAAAAACATACATGGCTATACGAAAAAGATTGTTTTCTTTGTGTTCATAATTAAAAGAAAAAAACTCATTTTTACTTACTTGTGCTACATAAACCAATCCGTTGAAAGAATCAACTGCAACACAAAACGTTGTTCCAGTAAAGTGTTCTGAATACTTAGGCCAACCCACATCCAGTCGGTAAAGAATATTCTCAGTTGTCCAGGAAATTTGAAAAACAAAGTTTCTTAAAATCTTAACACAAAAAATTAAGATTCTGTTTATAGATTAAAAACAAACAAATAAAAAAACTACTTTCAAGAATGCTTTGACAAATAGAGAACCCTGGTGATGCAGTGGTTGAGAGGTCGGCTGCTAACCAAAAAGGCTGGCAGTTGGAATTCACCAGCTGCTCCTTGGAAACTCTATGGGGCAGTTCTAATTCCTCCTTCAGGGTCGCGATTAAGCCGAACGGACTCGACGGAAACAGCTTTGGTTTGGTTGACAGATAAACGCTGGATTGAAAGTGATTCCAAACAAAATGACTTATACATTTAAAGATCGAGACTACCACAATACGAGTCTTAAAATTACTTAGGGATGCAGTGCGAGTGGAGGGAAAAGAGGAAATAAGCAAAACGACCATATACCGTACACAAACTTTTTAATTCTAAGAGACAAGGGCCCGCCATCTCCAGCCCACTCTTGACCTCACATCCCACGACCGCACTGTCACCTCCCAACAATGCCATCCTCACACCCGAACAGCCATTTCCTCATCACCCAACTCACCGGAGACCCACAAAAACACGAATGCAAAACCAGAAACGTCAGAAAGAAGCCGGCGCCGGCCGCGCACACCCAGAACCTCGCCATGAACCTCGCCAGTACCCTCTTCCTGGGGGTGCAACGAACGGAGCAGAGACCCGGACAAAAGAAACTCGCGGCAGACCAGTCCGGGGTTGCCGGCGCGTTCCCGGGTCCCCGCCCCTTGTCCGGTGCCTCCCGCTGATTCCGTGACCACCCTTCCCCGCCCCTTAGGGCCGTACGGCGGGGACTACTGGCACCCAGTATGGGAGCACCCACAGATATGCCTTAGCCACCCGCCGTTCATCCTTTGTCATTCAGATTGAACAATTAAAAAAAAAAAACGCACATGCAAATCTGAGGCATAAGGTGAATGCCATCCCACAAATGACTGCCGGGCTCTAAGAAAGAATTCAGCCGCATCCGATTCCGAGGCATCCAGGCACCCGCCGTGGACGCCTACGTTCCCACACCAGGACCCCCCCCACCCCCACCCCCCACCCACGGGCTTGCAGGAAAGCGCGGCTCAAGCTTGCGGAGGTTAGTCGGGTGCGACAGGCATCGTTGAAGGCCCCCGTGAGCGGGTGGGGGCTATAAGGGTGTCCGGAAGGGCGCCTGACAATATTGGCGCCGCGGTGTTCGGGAGTCCCCTTAGCGGAGGCTGTGCTCCTCTTCGCCCGGCTCCCGGTGCTGTCCCGCCGCCGGCCCGCTCCCGGAAGCCGCGGCAGCTGGTAACAAAGAGCCCGCCGGGCCGCTGCTGCCGGGGCTGCGGGACCGAAGAGTCGGCCGAGCGGCCGGGGGTGAGCGCTGCCGGGCCATGAGTCCGGGCTTGAGGCGGTGAGGGCGCGGCCCAGGCGCAGGTGCGAGCCGAGGGGCCGGCGCCTTTCTCCTTCCGGGCGTGGGTGCCGCCGCTCTTCTTGCCGTTCCACCCGGGAAAGAGGCCTCGCGCCCTTCCCCGGCGACACCTCGTCCTCCGCTGCGGGCACCGGCGCTGAGTCCCGGCCGCAGGGCCCCAGGGTTCTCTGCGGACTGTGAGAGGCCCCAGCTTTTCCCCCAGGGGCCCTGAAGCTTTGTGTAAGGAAGCTGCGGAAGTCTGGCGCGAGTGGTTTTTCTTTTAATAAAAACTTTTTTCAAGTCTTTGATTTTAGCCATTTTTGCGGAGTTTGCAGTGCTCCTTACCCCTTTCCATCCTTTCTCCCTCTGGAATTCTTTTTCTCGTCAACAATAAACATTTTTTACCATCAACGGAGCAGACCGGGTATGAACGTTTTGTAATTGAAAGTGTAACTGTTTAAAACCACGTCGAGATAGTAGTCAAGATGGACAAAAAGTCCTTTGAAACGGTGCTGGATGAAATTAGAAAGGTAATTACACTTGATTCCTTAAATTATTCTAAGAGTTAACGAATTCTTGTGACTTACTCTTTCTGAGATATTGCATGTAGATTGCACAAACCAAGAGACCTAGAATTGCAAAGTCGGTTTGGATTTGGACGAGTAGTGTAGGAGTTTATATTTTGATACATTTCGTGATATGAATAGAAACTAAATTATGTTAACGCTTAAATTTCTTGAGAATCAGTGCGGTATGGTGGAAATTATAGTCAGAAAATCTCGGTTCAGAAGCCGGCTAAGTGATTTAATATTTCTGAGCTTAGTTCCTCGTCTTTCAGTCACGCAAGTTACTGAAAACTAGAGATAAGATGTGCAAAAAGTTTATTTAATGGCAGTTATGATTATGGCAATAGGTAAAATAGAGTTGTTACCTGAGCCAGACCATAATTAGTGTCCTAATAAAAGTATGGCATTAAATTTAAAGTCACATTCTTAGAATGGGTTTTCAGTAACATGAATTTCAAAACTCCCCTCAGCTTTCCAAGTGTTTGCTTCATTTTGAGGCTATTGTATGTAGCCTACCTCACAAAATGAGCCAGACAGCTTCCCTTCTCTTGCTAATTCTAAGATGGAAAAAAATTTTTGGAATGTAGCCTTGTGCCAGACTGTCTCTCTAGTGAGAAAATAAGAGGTTACCATTTAGAGCTGAAAGGACTTCCTGTACCATTGTTATTAACGCAGGGTGCCTTGGGTAGGCCTTCCGGGGCAATTATTCTACATTTACATGTCTTAAAGACCCGTGTCCTCTGTTGCGCATTATTTATTTCAGTTTATGAAGGTATTAGTAGAATTGCCTCTGAACTTGCTGTTTTTCTTCATTGTTTATAAAGCTTTTCTTTTTTAAATTTCTGTTTTTCATTCGTTGTAAAGCTTTCTTTCCCCAAATTTCCATCTTAGGTTAAATTTACATACTTGATGGAACAAAACTTTGCAAACCTCATCTGTTGAACTAAGATACGCAGTGAAGTGTCAGTTTGCTAACTGTATATTTAGAATTTGCCACACATTGTTCATGAGCTTATTTTTAATTACGGTTTATGACAAAATATTTGTAGGTTAAGATAGATCTGTAGATTTCTACTTTTGGAAGATACAGAGTGTTCATTTGCTTATTGTCTCCCTTCTAAGTTGTGAAAATATCACATAATAAATGTTTATGAAGGGAATAGGAAATTTTCCAGAGATGAAAATGATATTCATACTAGATGGAAACTTTAGTCCTTATTTCTGTTCTGCAGTCAGAATATGTCCTTTGCTCTCTGTGCCAGATAATTGGACGACGCATCAGCATTGTCTTTGTCTATTAAAATTGGATAAAAGTACAGGCGTATCTAAATATGGGGATTACTATTGATTTTTTAAAAAACTGCTCTCAGACTGTGAATGAAGTCAGTTTAAGCCAGGTAATCTCTTCCTGAGTGTCACCGTAAGGTCTGGAGGGTCTGGTGCTGGCCGTCAGTGTAAGTGGCAGATTGAAGCAGAAGCATGTAAGAAGACACCAGGAAAAGAAATAGGAAGCTGGTGGGGGGAAGAAAGGGGGAAAAACTGTGTTAAATTTGCTTTGCAAAAAGGAAGTAATAATAGCAATGCAACAGCAACAACAAAAAACCCATTGCTCTCCAGTCAATTCCGACTCATAGCGACCCTATACGACAGAGTAGAACTGTCCCATAGGGTTTCCAGGGAGCCACTGGTGGATTAGAATTACCAGCCTTTTTGGTTAGCAGCCGTAGCTCTCAACTATTGCACCACCAGGGCTCCATATAGCCATTAATTATTGAGCTGTTAATGTGAACTTCTGTTCTAAATACTTTCTCCATCATTGTTTGATTTGATCCTCCAAACATCCTATGAAGTAGACAGTAGTCAGATGATTTTACGGATGGCAAACCTAGTCTCTGCTCAAGGCTACCCAGCTGGTCAGTGAGAGTCCAGTTTTCAGACCCAGGCAGTCTGACTCCAGAGTGCCCTGCTGTTGTGCCTGGGGATGAAACCACTGGGACCCTGACTTAGGGGAGATCAGCACAATCCAGGATTTGGCAGACGCTTGCTTTGGCCTGTGTGTCCAGGATAATCAAACACCCAAGAGTACATGATCCAGAATTACACGTTTTTCTGTTTTCAGTGAGAGTTAAACTAACGAGCATCCTAAATGTTTCTGCCAGTTAACTGGTCATAGCATTTTCTTCTAGCAGGATAACCTGTGTGGAAAGTACAAATACTACAATTATTTTATAGTAAAAGCAAAGGGATTAGTTGGTTTTTAATTATTAGTGGCTACCCTGCTGGCATAGTGGTTAAGATCTTGGCTCTTAACCAAAAGGTCAGCACTATGAATCTACCAGCTGCTCCTTGAAAACCCTACGGGGCAGTTCTCTGTCCTGTAGGGTTGCTATGAGTCGGAATTGACTCCACGGGCAATAGGTTTGGCTTTTTTTGGGGGGAGGGGAGTACAAAGTTATGATGGCCTAGTATTTCTGTCTCTAAGCTCAGCACATGACCTGCATGTGTATTTCAGTCAGCTCTAGACAGTGCTGGGTCAAGGCCACCAACTGCTCTCTCAACTCCTAATTGATAGATTCCATGTGAGAAAAGGGACCAATATTTGCTGAATAAATATTATGTTTCACTTGTGATGCTGACTACGTTAGTCCTCACAGTAACTCTGAGGGAGGTAGCAAATGGTGTTCCCTTTCATGGATGAGAACGCTGTCATGGCAATTTTGTGTCTCAAAGGCCAGACTGCCGGTTAGTGACAGGCGTAGGGATAGGATTCAGGACCCTTCCTTGGGTTCTCATATCTCTGTAGAAGCACTGAGAGCATCTACTGCAAACCAAACCCGTTGCCATCGAGTCGATTCTGACTCACAGCAACCTGATAGGACAGAATAGAACTGCCCCATAGGGTTTCCAAGGCTGTAATCTTTATGGAAGCAGACTGCCATGTCTTTCTCCCATGGAGTGGGCAGGGAATTGAACCGCTGACCTTTTGGTTAGCAGCTGAGCGCTTAACCACCACACTTAGCACATAATGGATGCTCAATAAGTAATTGTCTGATGAATGAGTAATGTCTGATACACATTAAAAGTCACAATTTGGTTGCATTTGTAATGTTCTGAAACTCTTTCATTACATTTACAGAAGTTCTATATGTAATTTCTAATAATGCAGAATCTCAGCCATTACAATTTCATTCCCTTTCTTTGTAGGGGAGCCCTGGTGGTGCAGTGGTTAAGAGCTATGGCCACTAACCAAAAGTTGGCAGTTGGAATCCACCAGTTGCTTCTTGGAAACCCTGTGGGGCAGTTCTGCTCTGTCCTGTAGGGTCACTATGAGTGGGAGTTGATGGCAAGGGGTTTCTGTAGAGGTCGAATGTCATATCACAGTGACCTTAGCTGCCTCTGGAGACTGTGGCTGAAGGAGGTCGGCCGCTGTTTTTATTGTGCTTAGGCAGTTTTGGTATCTCTGTAGAACTGTGCTATTTATATATATTAATACTATTTTTTATGTTTTTTAGGCTGTTTTGACAGAGTACAAATTAAAAGCAATTGAATATGTACATGGATACTTCTCTAGTGATCAGGTATTCCTCTTTTTTGTTTAAGCAAAAGCCTTTTTACAGCAATATTCTGCTTAATGTCTGTTTACCTGCTGGTCAAATTTAGAATTGTTGTATTTTATCGGTGTATTAATTCAAGAGCTTTAGAAGGTTTCCATTTTAGCAGAAAACGTTACACAACTCAGGAACATTTTATAACCACACTGTTGTGTTCTAACGTGAGTTTAAAATTCAGGGTCTTTTTATTAAAAAGTGGTTCAAAGTATTTATCTTTCTGGGTGCAACATAAAGAAATTTTAAACTTCTAATGGTAAACTTACCCAGATGTGTACGGTACTTATAAGAAAGCAGTTATAAAATTTACTACGTAATATAAAAGTAGTCTTGAACGAATGGTGAAATATGTTCTTATATGAAGCCACTAAATAAAACTTTCATCAATCAGAAAAAAATAGTGTCTAATAAGTAGTTTCTGTAATGCTAGAAGTCTAATGTTTTAAGTATGGTAGTTTATTGAAAACTTTCGCCCATGATTATAAGGGGAGTTTGCTAACTTAAAGAGCCCTGGCGGCACAGTGGTTAAGTGCTTGACTGCTAATGGAAAGGTCCGTGGTTCCAACCCACCAGCTGCTCTGTGGAAGAAAGACATGGCAGTCTGCTTCCAGAGAGATTTACAGCCTTGGAAGCCCTGTGGGGCACTTCTACTCTGTCCTATAGGGTTGCTATGAATCAGGATTGACTCGACAGCAATGGGTTTGCTAATTTAAAAAAATCCATGTGTATACATATACACATGAGGGGTTGGGGGAGAAAGGGACTTCTAAGGGACACTTGGAAAATCCTTGATAGAGAAATCAGGCAGAAGTAGAAATGTAAATCTGGAGAACAGTTTTGGGAAAGGGTGGACAGTGAATAATCTCTAGATTGAATTAGTAAATGACCAAGTTTTCATCTGTTTCTCAGGAGCTTCAAAACTTGAAAGCTTGATTAACTTTAAGCCTGTAGTTCTACCTGCTAAATTCCTAAAAGCTAATTGGTGATTTCACGGTTGCTACCTATTTAATGAGTACTTTGTAGCTGTTACATTGCTTTTCAAAATCACCTTATGCCTTTTTAAAATTTAAATGTAATTTTTTTTAATTTTAATTGTTTATAGCTAACTTTTTTTGTTGGTTTTTATTCTACTTTGCTAAAGTCTTTAAAAACCATGTTAGGCCACCTTCAGAGTGTGACATTCTGAGCCTATTTGCTATCTTAAAGATTTTCCTTCCTATATCGGACAGGATAGTTTGTAAAGTTTTATCGTTGGTAGCATTTACCATATAAAACAAATGAACCAAAAAAACCAAACCCATTGCCATCGAGTCGATTCCGACTCATAGCAACCCTATAGGACAGAGTAGAACTGCCTGCCCCATAGGGTTTCCAAGGAGCCACTGGTAGATTTGAACTGCCAACCTTTTTGCCAGCAGCCGAAGGCTTAAGCACTGCACCACCAGGGCTCCATTTACCTGAGAGTAAAACCCTTATTCCTGTAAAGGTAAGGACATATACTCTTACCCAATTAACTAGAAAGTATATATAGTGCTTGTTTGCTGCTTACGTATCTTTTTCTAAGGAGTCTTCACGTAGCACTCCAGTTTCCAGCATCAACCATGCTTTGTAGAACAAGTGAAACCGTAGCACATTTTCAGGAACTCACAGTAAAATAATTAACCCAGATTTTACGACCTGTTCTTCTTGACCCTTTTTTCTTCTGGACCGTCCTTGGAGGCCGCAAAGCAGGGTGGTGGCGTCATGCAGAGACTCTAGTGTTGTAACGTTGGTGCCCTGGCTCATCTGCTCCTGGTGCTGTGTCATGTCTCTCCCTCCCGTGTTTGCTGTTCTGTGGAGGCGGGAGCACATGAGAGCCTGGTTGTCTGTGCTCTCAAATGGGGCACCTTGTAGAAGCCGCTGGAGTCATTCATGCTGATTCTTACGTTCTTAGGGACTAGATCTGTGATATGAATGTGAGCATTATGCTCTCCAGATTCAAATAAAAGGCTAGATGTTAGTGGACCTACACTGAAACCACACCACTGAACATGCTTTGTGATTGATTAAAATACGTTCTGTTCCCCAGTGTTTTCAGTTTTCCCATTCACGATATATGTTGTGTTCCTGAGCTGACATTTTAGCCCCGTGTTCTACTTTCCTAACGTTCCTTTCCCTATTTAGAATATTCTTTATTCGTCCTAGCCCTTGTGCTTGCCTTTCTCTCCAGACGAGTGCTGGCTTAACAGGACTCCCTGTGATGGTGGAGTGTTCTCTCTGCACCGGCCATCATGGTAGCTACTGGCGCACGTGGCCTCCGAGCACTTGAATTGTGGCTTTTGCCACTCAGGAACTGAACTTTTTATTTTATTTTAATTAATTTAAATTTAGATAGCCACAGGTAGCCACTGTCATTGGGTAGTGCAGTCTGGACTCTGTTGCCCTCTGCTCCTCAGCTAAGCCCAGGTGTCATGTTGTGAACAATAATTCAAAGTCTGGAAATCAGTCTTTCGGAACGTTTGCCTGAATGCTGTCTTTAGAGCTGAATGCGTTCTTTGCTTTCAGGTGGTTGATTTACTGAGATACTTCTCCTGGGCTGAGCCTCAGTTGAAGGCAATGAAAGCATTACAACATGTAAGTATTTTTCCTTCGAATGTAGGATTTAAGTGTTTTGAATTCTCACTGTTTTCCATAAATTATCTGAAGTTGTAATTTACTTGCATTAGAAAAGCCGACCCTAAATTTTATTATCGTTTGATTATTTAAAATAGCTATGTTAAAGAATTTAAGCTTCCTAAATTGTACATTTATGTTGTATGTACTGTACAATTAAATTGTACACCATAAAGTGCTAATTGACAAATTAGAGGAAAATATATTCATAGGCAAACAAACCATAGGATTTAAATACTCAAGTGTTTGTATGCACCTTTCTGTTTTTGGATCTCTGGCTCCGCCTTTTTGTACTTAGTCTTAGAAGAGTAGTGAGATGGATTTATACTTACTTTCTTTAGACCAGCACTGACACAAATGAACTTTTTAATGATGGAAGTGTTTTATTTCTGCGCTGTCCTATTTATACGGTAGCTACTAGTCACATTTGGCTGTTGAGGACTTGAAATGTGACTGTTGTGACTGAAGAACTGAATTTTAAATTTTATGTGATTTTAATTAATTTAAATGGCTGTTATATTGGACTGTCTGCTCTAGAGCCTAGATCACCAGGGGTGTCTAGATCAAGCAAGAATATCTGGCTATATATGAAGTTTTCCAAGAGGATCAGACATGGGTAGCTTGAACAGAATCAGATACAGATCTTAATCTCCTAAACTGACCTGCCTGAGTCTCTTAGTCTTTCTTTCCTATTTTTACTTTAATAATTGCTTTTTTTTTCCTACTTTACAAAGAAGGCTTATCGCACCTGTCCCCTGGGGGTGAAAATCTTCCACCCAGTACCAAAGAGGCAAAGCATTGCTCCTGAGTGGGAGGGCAAAGCAAGGAGAGCTTCTGCAAGATGGATTGGTGGGGGGTCTTAGCTTATGCTATCCAGGCCGCAAGCGCGTGGCTGAACTCGGAGGCATGCCTGCCTGCTACCTACCTTAGAATTAAGATTCAGAGGTGAGAGGGTATCACAGGGACAGCTTAACACAGTTATTTGGATTAAATTAAGCAACCTTTTCTGACAAAGTAACTCTGATGTGAGTTAGCTTTGCCAGTTAGGTTATATAATGGACATTTTTATAAATTAAATGAGCTAAATTGCATAGTTCCAAGTTCTTTGCAGATATATAAACTTAATATAAAGAAAGTTGATCTTTAGAGACTATTTAAACTTCTGATAAAACATTTAGATGTCAGTTTAGAAACATGCAAAGTGGTATGTAGTTTTATAAGTGCTTTTGGTGGTACATGAATAAACCACTGCTCCAGATTTTAGGAATTGGGCATTGATTCTAATCAGTCTGACTTCTTACAGTGACTTTGCCTTTGAATTTTCTTCACTGTTAACATAAATCTATAAATTGGCCAAATCCTCAAGATGCTCTTCAAATAAAGTGCCCTAGCCAAATAAATTCTGTGACATTTCAGACAGTTTTAGGGAGTCACAGTGCACAGTAACATACGACTCCGAGAAAGTTCTGTAGCGAGGAGCCCAGTGTCACCTGACTCACGCGACCGTGGTACCCTTTTTGTGTGTAACACTATCAAGCACCATGGGTCACCCTTTGGGAAATATACGGGTTAAAAAGAGCTCATGGAACTTAGATCTTGACCTGTAATAGTTAAATTGAAAGAGCCCAAGTTTAATTCACACGTTTTTAGAACTTCCTTTTGAGTTGCTAGAGCTTACTTTTGAGTGAGGAGTTTTCACCTAAAATGTTTATATTAAGAACATTTAACTATACCTAAAAAGAAAAAGGAACAATTTTTGACATGAAAATTTCTCATGCTGAGAGTAAATTATGTTTATATTAATAGAAAATGGTGGCTGTTCATCCAGCAGAAGTGGTCAATATACTCAACTGCTTCACCTTCAGTAAAGACAAACTAGTTGCTCTTGAACTGTTAGCTTCGTAAGTATTTTTCGTTTTACTTCATTGGAGAAAAAGTTTGAGGACTTAAAATGTCTTTTAAGTCAGTGTGTGTTCATGTGTCAGAATTATATTAGTAAATGGGACTATAATAAAATATATTCAATGAAAGTATAGTGCTGAACTCTTATTTCTTCATGTGAACGAATAGGGTACTTCTTACACATGGATATAACTTACAAAATAATGGGCTTATCAAAATTATTTATTTGCCTGCATTTCAGTCACTTGCTCTCCCTTCCTGCTCTGAGTATCTGGCAAGCCAGGCTGGTAAAGGCACAGGACTTAGAGGACCTGCCCCTACTGATGGCGTGTTTCTTGGCAAGATGCTTACTCCTTATGAGCCTTATTTTGCTCCCTTGTGAGAGTGAGGATCTCACCTATTTAGTAGTGTACGCGAACTGTAGATCCTGTAAGGTGTGTGAAAGCACTAGCAGGACACTTCATAGATGATCACAATGCATGGAAACAGAGAAAAGGCAGGAACTTGTTCCTTTGTATAATTGAAAAGAGTGTAAGTTACTGTTTATTTATAATGTGATTTTTAAATCCCTTTATATATGTATACAAAAACACAACATAGAAATAAAACATAAGGTAAAGCTTCATTTTTAGACGAACCGTGATTTTCATGCATTTGATGTAGGGGTTTACTGCCTCCTCTCTCTCAGCACTCGTAGAGGCTATAATTTCAAGAGTCTTAAAGTAGTGATTTTTATTTACAATATCGTTTTCAAATAATCAGTTTGATAAACCTCTTTCAGTTATTATATTTACCTTATGTAAGCACGTTATTTAAATTGGCCTATTAAAAATAAAAACTGAATTGCACATGTTGTGTTATATATATTTTTACAACAGTTGAAATACAGAGGGTTTATATTGCCTATAACAAAGGAGGGAAAAAGTAATTAATCAAACTCTTCTCCCAGTGTAATGGAGAAACACTCACTCAGATATGTTTGTGCAGCAAACAAAGGTTGCTGACTCTGCATGTATGTCCAGGTTCTTAAATGAAAAAGCTAAATTGTATTTCCTTGGTAGAAACATTGTTGACGCACAGAATTCTCGTCCCATTGAAGATTTATTCAGGATAAATATGTCTGAGAAGAAACGGTGTAAGAGAGTTCTTGAACAGGTAATTGTCTCAAGCCTGCTATGCCAATGGTACATTGGTTTTGCTGAATGTTGATGAAGAAAAAAGTCCCTATCCTGTTCCTCTGTTAAGTTTGATGCCTGACTGCTTTTACGAGATGGATTGAGAATGAACGGAGCAGATACAGAGCTGGGTAAAGGAAGAGCTCCTGGGCAGAGAAATGGCTTGAGAGTGACAAACCTGTTGGCCACGCAGCTTGGGCTTCGTGGGGCACTTAGGTCTCAGTCCCTTGGTAGCTTTGCTGTGGCTCCAGGCTTTTGTCTTTAGCTTTATGTATTTAAGAACTTGACCTTTAGATTTGTTTTATCATCAGACTTAACGTTAGTCAAATTCATGAGTTATGAATATGGAAGCAAAATTCTGGTTTATTAATATACAAGTTACAGGAGTGAGAGAAGGAGAAATTTTCCAAGCCTACAAATCTTGGTTTGCTCACCTAGGGTAGTCGTTTCCTGGGATCGTTTTAGCTGGAAACTCAAGTGTTCCGTGGACTAGGCCTCTGGTCCGTGTGCATTAGTACAGCTTTTCAGGAAGGGAAACTTGAAGGGCCTTCAAAATGTTCATACCTTTTAGCCCCAAAATTCTACTTCTATGAATTTACTCTAAGGTAATGAGTAGAAATGTACAAATTAGTAGAATGTACTTACCCAGCGCTATTTATAATAGCCAAAAATTATGGGTTGGGTTGTTTGGTAGGGGGTGGCTTCTACATCTAATATAAGTGTATGTGTTGTAAATGAATTTATAAAGTTATTATAACTCTATAACTAAATATATAGTGTACATACGTAGCTGTATATGTATAACTCAGTATACCTACTCCTCATTTATTGACTGTCTTCAATCTGACATTTTGCATTTACGACAATAGTAAAAAATCTACTTTCCGACTGTTTTGCGCATTAACGACGTATGTCTGGCAGTAACCCTTTCATGACGAGTGGTACATATAGCACCCGCCTACAGTTCACGCCTGTCTGGTTTATGAGGAAGGTACTGGTCCACTGACAGTACATACTGCAGCAGATGGGGACCGGCATAACATTTCAACCAGAAGAAATGGGTGTATGCCACAGTTACTGTTTTTACACGGTATTGTATGAGGCAGTACGCCCTGAAAGTGTGATTGTGCAAAACTCCTGTCTCTTTTGTCTTTTGTGCAGTGAGATAAGCCTTGTAAGTATATTTCCGGGTTCCTGTGTGTTATTTGGAACTTGCATTTCTCATGATGATTCCATGTTCACGAGAATACCTCATTTTCAGGCAGCAGCACAAGTTGCAGCATTCCTGGCATACTACCAATCCTACCCCTGAGTCCAGAGAGATATGTATCTCACAGATCCTACCCCCAAGCCCAGAAGGACATATGCATCCTACCAGTCCTACCCCCAAGTCCAGAGGGACATATGCATCCCACCAGTCCTACCCCTCAGACTCCAGAAGGACATATGCATCCCACCAGTCCTGCTACACCCAGAGTCCAGAG